AAGATCACAAGTGATGTGAGCTTGTATTCTGACATCAACAGTGGAGGAGATGGACGCATGGGGAGGAGGAAAACAAGGTGAGTAATCTTCAGTTTCTTTAATTTAACTAAGCAAAGTTGGGTGTATGGTGATCACTTCACTTTAAGAGAACATATAGTCAGTGGTGTATCCTGGTTTTGTGCTGCCCTAGGCAGGACAAAACTCAGGCGCCCCCTCCCCTCCGTGCCACCCCCACCCAACCTTCTAAATACACACACACATTCACTGACAGATACGCATACACTAGCAAACAGAAACACACACACACACTAACAGACACACTCACTCACACACTAACAGACACACACACACTAACAGACACACTCACACTCACTAACACACACTCACTCAAAAACAGACACACACACACACATACTGACACACACACACACATACACTAACAGACACACACACACTCACTAACAGACACACACACACAGCAAACACACACACACACTAACAGACACACTCACACTCACTAACACACACTCACTCAAAAACAGACACACACACACACTAACAGATACACACTCACACACTAACAGACACACACACACACACTAACAGAGACACGCTCACACACTAACAGACACACACTAACAGACACACACACTCACACACTATCAGACATATACACACACTCACTCACATTAACATATTTTTTTATTTATTTAACCCCCCCAGCCTCCTTACCTTTGGGAATGTTGGGGGGTAGGGGTTGTCTTTCTCCCTGGGGTCCAGTGGCTGCTGGGCGGGCGGCGCTGGCAGGTTGCTGGCGAGGGAGCACTTCCTCTGACATGCTGGGCGGGCTGATGGTCTGGCTGCTGGGCGGGCGCGCGGCTGGCGAGGGAGCACTTCCTCTGAGCTGTCTGCTCAGCTCCCTCATGTGCTGCAGAGTGAGGCTGGGAGACGGAATATGACTTCATATTCCAGCTCCCAGCCTCACTCTGTGGCGCACGAGGGAGCTGAGCAGACAGCTCAGAGGAAGTGCTCCCTCGCCAGCCGCGCGCCCGCCCAGCAGCCAGACCATCAGCCCGCCCAGCATGTCAATTAGCCGCAAGGCTAACAAGGCATTTGCCCTGGGCATTTGGGGGGCGGCTTTTTTTGCCGCCCCCTGGAAAATGCCGCCCAAGGCAAATGCCTTGTTTGTCTCGCGGCTAAAACACCCCTGGCTATTGTACCGAAATACTAATGATTGTTATTTTCCAGGCTATAGGTTCCCTTTAACTTGTTTCCAAAACATCGGATCAGCCACCAGTTTTAGAACTGGCATCCAAACTTGCAGTATATTTCATGAGTGGCAATTTGTGGCTTAGCAATAAATTTGTACAACAACTACCATCACCAGGTGACACTCATGGCTGAGAGCACTGAGTGTCCAAGTTCAAAATAGGTTCAGCTTGATAAA